CCCCCCCTCCCCGCCCCCCCTGCCAGCCCCCGAGCATCCTGGGGTGCAGAGGGCTCTTGGGGAAGCACTGGAGGAGGACAGGCTCATTTCTGCCCTCATCCCTCCCCATCCTCAGCCTTACTGAGGGATGCACAAGGCTCTGTGCAAAGCTGGATTTCATAGTAAGTTTGGCTTTATAATCCTTGGAGGAAAGACTCTTTTGGAAGAGATCATTTATATGCCTCAGGAAAAATAAGCTGGATCTGCAGTTGCAGGCACAATCTCAAAGTAAATAGAAACATTCCCTTTGGCTCGGGATCAGCCCTGACTCATGAGCAAAAACATCTTTGGAGGTAAAACAGAATGTTTGGAGAATGGTTTGCTGTTCTAACTTAAAAGATTATATACTGCTTCCTGGGATGTTACAAGATGACACTTCCAGCTTTTCCTTCTGAAATGAACTACATGAGTCAGTGAAAATGCATCGCTTCCCATTCCTTAACCTTTTCTGTTCGTAAGATCTATTTCCCCTTTTATTGACACCTTCAGTCTCTACTCCGGGGCTCTTGCTGTTTAAGATTCTTACCCAGACACTCAAAAGAAAATCACACAAAATGCGTTGTTTCATTTGTCTTTCTGCCCAGGGGAGCCTGAGCTCCAAGAAAAGTTACTTCATCTTTCCAAACCAGCCTTCAAGATGGAGCAGCACTGACAGGTCCTGATCAGCCACCTAGCACTGGTGCCAGGGCAGCAATCCACTGCCCGTTACACATGCACTCATGTGTTGGACACTGTAGTATTGTCCTGGCAGGAATTCTTCTGTGTGGGATGTCAGTATTTGCTTTATCAGGTCCAGAGAACCTGCATGGTTTAGGAAAAGCAAAGACCGAGATCTCTGAGGTTCATTTTGGCCACGGGCGGCTCTTTCTGCAGCCAGTGAATGCTGAACAGAGAGTGCACACTAGCTCGGCCCTGTGGGCATGGCATATCCCATCCCATCCATCTCATCCCATGCTGTTCTGTCCTATCCTGTCTCATCCCATCCAATCCCATCCTGTACCATCCCATCTCATCCCATCCTGTCCCATTCCATCCCATCTTATCCTGTCTCAACCAATCCCACCCCATTCCATCCTATCCTGTCTCATCCTATCCCCTGCTGTCACATCTTATTCCATCCCCTCTCATCCTGTCCTGTCCCATTCAATCCCATCCCATCCCAGGCCTGTGCAGGCTGCAGCTGCTCTGGGCGCGGGAGCACCGGGGGAGCTGGGGAGGTGGGGGCCCTGCCGAGGACTCGGTGCAGGTGTCTGGAGCTGCGATTGAGGTTCTGGCTCTTATTGAAGCAAGAAGTTTCTTCTACCTAAGACATTTCAGTTCCAGCTGCTTAAATCACCACGTTTCTGAATGCGTTTGAACAAATCCAAAGCAGGAGGCACGAGTCCATGCCCAGAACAAGGAGCAGCACAAGTTAAATGCACGCTTCGCTCACAGCTTTGTGTCTGCATGGACATGAGCAGGAAACTTCACATCACCAGAACAATGTAGCCCCTAGACTTGACCTCCCCAAGTGTTGCAGCCACCCAAGAACCTTTGAACTGTTCCAGATGTTTATAAAGCACCAGAGGTATTTCTAAGCAAAGTCTTTTCACCGCTTAACATCATAAAGTGAAGCCTGGGTTATTGCTCAGTGTCATTTGTGAGAAGACCTGTCACATTGTATTGCTTTTCCTCCCCTTTATTGTAGCACATGCAGGCCCTTTTTATAGAAAACATGGCTAAATTGTTTGAAACCTTTGGACTCAGGAGATAAAAAATGATCCAGATGTGGGCTGGATAATCCACATGGTGCTCGGCTGAAGCGGGTCATTTATTGCACCACACTTTTTTACTGGCCTTGCTAAACTTGGTCCATTTGTTAGTATGAAGGGTTTGAGAGTTTAAGCCAAACCATTTCTTAACCTCAGAGAAATCTTCACCTGGGAGCGCTGGCACATGCATGAGCAAAAGCGTGTGAAAGCAAACTGTGCTGCACTGTTGTATTTACACCATCCTATCTAAATGCCTCTGTTTTTTAAAGATATTTTAATAATGGGGCTTAGGAAGTATCTCAGCAACAATATAAATGCTAAAGTAGTTGACTCTAGTGGAAGGTGTCCCTGCCTGTGGCAGGGGATTGGAACTGGATGAGCTTTAAGGTCCCTTCCAACACAAACCATTCCATCATTCTATGATTCTCCCCTTTGCATCCCTCCCAGCAAGGTGGAAGGTGTAACCCAGAGGGGCTTCCCAGACAGTAATTCCAGTTCCTATGCTGATCCTGGCTGACACAAAAACCTCTTGGCAAACCCTTTGGTAACTGGGTGCCTGTTCCAGTGCCCTGACACAGAACCAGGATAGTTTCTTGAATTCTTTGCTGTGTTTAACAAAGCCTTTCCCCACGCTCAGCCAGCGCTCTAGAAGCTACAAGAGCTGCAGCAAAGGTGATCTGGCCCCACGGTGCCTATGGAAGAGGAGGATGAGGAACGTTGGGGTGGCTGCAGCCATCCCATGCTCCCCGCAGCAGCTCCAGCAGCATTACTCACACCTCCCCAGTCCTACTGCTCTCAGCCATGTGGCAGGAATTCAAGCGGGTGGAGCCCTCTTCCCTCTGGAAATATCTGATAAAAATCCCTTCCCTCCCCCTTTTGCTTCTTACAGACAGGATATGGGTGTGGGGCCAGTGTCACGCAGGGGCAGGGGGCTGCAGGGAACCCCCCAACCTACTGCACCAAGGGGCTTCCTTGACATTTGGTGCTTGGGAGCTTGGCACCATCCCCGGGACCATGAGCAGTTATATCCTTCAAGTGTCTGTGAGTTCGAAAGCTCCTTTTCCCTTCCCTCATTTTTACAACATTTCCAGGTCTTGCAAAAGGAGTGAAGGGAAGAAAGAATGTTTTAAAATGACAAGAAAAGGGATTCTTTAGAAAAATCAAGTTTGGCAAAGATGAGTAAAAATGTGTAAGAAAGAAAGAGAAAAGATTAAAAAAAAAAAAAAAAAAAAAAAAAAAGGGTTTTGCTTAGGGACAAGTTTGTATTAGGTACAAATATCACAGAGTCCCAGACTGGTTTGGGTCAAAGGAACCTTAAAGCTCGTCCAGTTCCAACCACCTGTCACGGGCAGGGACACCTTCCGCTAGAGCAGGTTGCTCCAAGCCCCTGTGTCCAACCTGCCCTTGAACACTGCCAGGGATGGGGCAGCCACAGCTTCTCTGGGCACCCTGTGCCAGCGCCTCAGCACCCTCACAGGGAAGAACTGCTTCCCCGTAAAACACATGTCTTTCACCAAAGGAATTTCGGGAGCTGGTTCTCCCAGGAGCCAACCTGAACTCAAACCCCCAAACCTGGGATTTCCATTGGGAGCTGCACAACTGAAACCTCCGCTTAAGTCACTGGGACTGCCCAAATAGGTGAAGAGCAGAGCCTGAGAGTGAGCTCCCTACTCCTGCACAGAAGCAAACCTCCTCCACTTCCAGCCAGTGCTAACAAAGCTCTGTAATATCCTTCAGAACTGTGGAGCGTTGGCTCTGCCAGCAACAGCAATGACATTTTGCAGCTTTAAACCCGCTGTTGCCCAGTAGCTTTTTCTTTACACAAGGCACAACTTATTATCACTTGTGCTTTGTACTACAAGGAACTTGGGGTTTGCATTTCAGGTGAACACTTATGTCTTACACCCTTCAGCCAGGCCTGAATTCTATTTCTCTCTAATAAAATGTTTTTTTTTTCCTTCCTATAAAATTAACAGACACTGAAGGGTCAGGCCCAATGGCTCTTGTAAGTAATAGACCTTGGCAGCAAAGGGAACATGAAAGGAGCACTGTGAAACAGGAGAACAAAATAAAGCAAATTCTTTCACTAGATCTAGTTTTATTCCTTATTCCATGTGAATAAGGCAAAAATACATTTCAGGAGACACCTGGGTTCCTGGCACAGAGTGCTGCTTTACTTTTTTAAGTCCCTTTTTATTACTTTATGATTGTTGGGTTTGGGACCAAAATGAGAATATTTCTCTAAAATATAACCCATTAAAAAGCACTACCTCGAGAAAATCTCTGTATCATTACTCACTGTTTCATATGATGAATATTTGAAGACCTGGAATAGGAGATATTAATATTTATGGAGATTGATTTGATTTTCAGACAATGTTTAGCTCCCACCACAAAACAAAAGTAAAGCTAATTTACACCTACACAGATTGAGAGACGACTTGAACTGTGGCTGCACTCCACAGCTTTGCGTGCTGCATCAGCATCCCCTCCTGATATCTGTAATATTACAGGGAGCTCTTCCACCCTGATTCCTCTCTTTTTCAACCCAGCAGCGTTTTCTGCTTGCAGCGTATCACTTGGAATGTGTTGGCTGGGATGCCTGGTGTAGAACATCACTGCAGTGTGAAACTGCAATCACCACTAAACACCCATTAAAACACATCCCCCTCCTTGTTCCACAAGTTACAAAGAAGTTGCCCCATGCAGTAGTGTCCCGCTGCTCTATTGCTCAGTGCTTGTAACCGTGGTTAGTCGCTGCAGTCAATACTCACCACACAACTCCACAGCACAGAACACGATCCAGAAAAGCTGCCTCCACTTCATGATGTTTAACCTTC